TGAACAAACTGAAAATCAGAAGTTTCGTTGTGAACTCAATTATTTGAACAAAAGCAGAAAAACTGAATATTACACCGAGAAAAACACACTTGTATAATATTATAAAAATTCACTGCACAAAAACTAAAGAAACACGGGTTGTTCGCTCTGCCACTGAAATGAATAAGAAACGTGGTCAATGGTCCCAGGTTTATTCCCAACCAAAGAGGGATGTATCTGGTGGAGGAGGAGAGGAGAATGGTTGGACAGGAGGTACTAGGACAGCAGTCCACCCTGAAACACGGGTCTGAGATGCAATGGGCCGACCAAAAGAAAATGTCCTTGGAAAAAGCTACACAAATCGTTGGTTATTCACCTCTGCTTTACAAAGGGAAGAAGTAATGGTACCAACAGTCCCGTTAAATTTTACTTCAACCATGGGCCTCAAGAGCCAGAGATATACATTGCAAATATCCCAGGTGTGAGGAACATGATAAGATAAAGTTTAATGAAAATAAACTATCCCGCGGACCCCTTTTGAATTACTCGCGGACCCCTGGGGGTCCGCGGGCCACAGGTTGGGAAACACTGATTTAGATGACAGTTCATGATAACCTGAAAAATTTTAGGCTTGAAAGAATTCTATGTTTCTAATTCCATTTGTAAGCATAATATTCATATACACAAATAATATGTTTGACATGGAGCTGTAATTTCGTTCGCAAATGTCTACTTTCGTTTCGCGACCACATTAAATCAAAATTCATACTTACCAATTTGCATATAATGCGCCACCATAACCGCATGTAATTGTGGGTATTCAAGTTGGTTTGTTTAGGCTCTCTGATTGGTCGAGCCCAGTGTGAGTTTCGTCCGCCGCTCTTAGAGGCAGTAGTTACCGTGTTTCCCTTTCCCCTATTCCAATTGCCACCCCCTGATCAGCTGCCACATTTGTTTGGAGAGTGCGTGGAGTGTGGTCTTCAATTTGTAAAACTGCTATATAAGTAAGAATGGGCATGTTATTTTGTAAACGTAAGAAGACAAGGAGGAAGGAGGAGGAAATAGATTCGTTTTGGTAAGATGGAATCTTTTGATGGTATGGTGTAATGTTTGTTCAGTAGCAGTAGTAATGTGGAAATCACCTTAAGTTTGAATTATTTGATTTGTGTATTTATTTATTTTCTGCTCATAAGTTGTAATTATGAGTGTATTTTATAAAAGTAAATTGCATTATATTATTGTATGTTCGTATGTTTAATTTTAGGGACTAAAGCGGCAGAGAGATGGAATGATCGAGGACAAGACAAGAGGAGGACAAGAAAATCTGTGCGAAAAGATAGAGAAGTGACAATTAAACTACTGAAAGATGGAAAAGAAGAGTGAGTTTTTACTTACGTATTTATAAATGCTATGTCTGGTAGATGTACAATAAATTTAAATGTCTGAATTACCCCAGAAGTTATTAGTAAAGTACTGCTGCATATTTACATTATCTTGTATTGGCGTTTGTCTGCTTCCTACTCTTAGCAGGTATTTTTTATGTGATGGCTAGGTTCTGTGCCTTGTGTGGATGACCTACTGAACAGCTTTTGTAGCAAGCAGCATAGTGAAGTGGACATATTGGTAGAATTTGAATAGCAGAAGGCAAAATATGAAAATTATGAACAGACACCACCACCGCCACCGCCGCCGCCGCCGCCGCCGCCGCCACCACCACCACCACCACCACTTTGGCAAGGCAGCACTTTTTGAGCCATAGACTTCCTTAAATATTGTGCCAGATTTGATCTGGTTGTCACAGATTTTGGTTTCATAGCAATTTTTTAACAGACCAAGGTTGTCAGTCTTGCACCCAATGACCCAACAACCCACCACATTTTGAATATGTCACAAATACGGAGAAGTTGCCATTGTAGTTTTTTTTTGTAGAGTAATTTTATCATTGTATAGATGTGTTAACAGCTTTTTTGTTTGTTTCTTTATATCAGTCGTGCGAAGATACTGATGACGAGGGTGAAATGCAAAGAGCGAGATCTTCAAGAGTCTTATGGCCAGCTGAGGAACTTGCAGGAGCGTGTGTACACCATGGAATTGGCCCTAATTTTATGCAGATAAAGTTTCATCGTTCTAATAAAAGTAACTGATGTGCTTAGGTTGCATACAAGGAGTAGCACATCTAAAGTTTCATAGTTAACCAAAATTAATTTTATTTTATTTGAGGATACACCAAGGAAACTGGCAACCGAAACCCAAGCGCACTTTCCGAAAACTGTTACCAGCCTTGAGTTGAAGACACGTTACTGAATGGAGCAGTGCAAATTGAGGTTGCCAGTTTCCTTGGTCTTCCCTCTCCCTTAGAGTTTTACATATAATACTAAGTTGGGCTAAAGAGAGCCCATATTTTCTTTCCACATCATCCCCAGTATTTTAGTATGTGGTTTATTTTTGGTAGCTGGTTGGGAGAGACAGTAAGATGGTTGAGGCACTATGCTACAAGCCGGAAGGTCACGGGATCAAGTCCCGATGAGGTCATAGGATTTTTCAATTGACCTAATCCTTCCAGCCGCACTTTGGCTTTGGGGTCAACTCTGCCTTTAACAGAAATGAGTACCAGGAATCTTGCTGGGCTAAAGGGCGGCCAGCGTGTAAGGTTGAGAGCCTCACATGCATCTGTGATCAGATTGTCTAGAAAACATGGGAGTCTTGATATCCTATGCGTAGGTGATTTGACTTTTGAGTCACTTCTAAACGTGGCCTTGATGTAGAGCAAAATTTAGATGAATCTGGATTATGAACCCCTAATAACAAGATATATTTTTTATAATGACATTTATTTTTGAGAATGTTTAGATGGGCTGAAGGTTGGAAATGAGGCCTTCAATGTCAATGAAGTGGAAAGGAGTGTGGAAGAAACAAGAGAAGGAATGTATAGTTTCACGGAGTGATTTCTTATAGAGAAACATTTTAAATCAGGATATCAGAGTAATCATATTTTACAATTTTATGGAACTCGTGAAGTAATGTGATTGGTAATGTAGCCCTTGTGATTGTATATCAAACTGATAAAGTCCATGCTGACCATTCTTAAACTTGGCACTAGGTGGTGAATGTCAGCTTCACACTTTCATTGCTTTATCTGTGGGCGTTTGCTTACAGATTAATTTCAAGCTGGTTTCTTTGAATATTTGTATGCGTTCCATGTTCCACCAACTCGATACTGGGATACTCATTGTTCCATTCAAAAGAAGAGCATGATAAAAACGCTAAAGTGAATAGGCTGCAGGCTGAATAACCAGAGAGTAATTGCTTAAAGCTATTACTTTTGACTTTGTAATCACATTTTTGAAAACCACAAAGTTTAGAAATTGGTTCTGTTTCCTTCAGGTGAGAAGAGCTACTCTCAAAGCATGGAATAGCTCCACCAAGGGATCTAGCACAGTTGATTCCTTTATCCAAAGACAGAAGCATAAGAAATTTCTAAAACATAGTTGTTTTAAAGACTTTGATGTTGGGCAGAGTCCAGAATACTAGTTTTAACTAATGAGCTATACAATCATCAAAGAACTTTAAACTTCAGAAAATCAGTGTTCAGTTTTCAACTGGGGCTGAGATTTCTCAATTCACCACCCCATTCAGACCCGCTGTTGTGGCTCTGGGGCCCACTCATACTCCTCTACATGGGTACGTGCACACAAATTAATTAGCTCATTGGAGGGGGGAGTATATTGGATTCATCTGGCTTAGGATAGGGGGCCAACAGCACGGTCTTCTGAGGTCTGACTATAGCGACAAGCTCTCGAGTTTCTGCTTCACTTCCGGCGTGCAGTCACATGTTCTCATCTCTCCTACTGCTGCTCCTCGCGGCATCCTGTAACGATTCATTTCGACTCCGCAAAATGTAAAAAATTTCAACTGATATTACATGGCTAGTGACTGATTTCCTAGACTCGTTCAGTAACAGTTTTTCCAATTCTCTTGTTATCTATGGGATCCACCGATGTCCTCACTATCAACTGTAAACCTCGAAATATACAACCCTACGTATATTTCTTTTCATTTCCTCACGTGACTTCTGGGTGCTAACATCACGGGCGCCAACCACGGCGACTCACAAGGGGTAATAATTCACTTAGTCAGCATCTCCTCTAGCTGGCGTCTCATCTCCTTTTAACTGGAAGGGAGTCCCCTCTCCGAACCTCACAACCTCCCTTGTCGTACTAAGTAGCACCCTTGTGCTCTCTTTACAAACAAACTAATTCCACTGGTACTAAGCCTAGGCATCTCTTCCTCTAGGCCCTGCAAACTCTGGAGTACAACTCGGCTTGCTCCCCGAGCTGCGTACGCATCCGGCATACCTCATCCTATGGGTTCAATTGATACTTCCCGGGGCAACTGCATCCCGTAATCTCTCTATTTTCTTTGTCCCTCAGACAATGGGAGGGTAGTGACCATTAGCTCTTGAGCCACAACTTTCCAGTAATCGGTGTTGGATCCTCCTGGGTTCAACCCTGGGGTGGGCCTTCCGTCGGTCCGCCCTAAAGTGTTGTTCCTGGGTTGGCCATGCCCGTTCGCGACCCTTTTCCGCTGCGGGCGTCCCTGCCGGTGACTAGTGTCCATCTTGACCTTCCGCCCTAACACTCAATGGCGCGTTTGTCACAAGACGAACGTGCTGATTCGCAAATCGACACGCGCCTCCATATGTCTTGAGTACATCAACCCCTAACACGTCACACTGCCCCATCTCTAAGGGAAATTCATGAGTACAACTTTTCCTACCGTAAGTATTATCATGTGAGCTACCATTAATTTCAGTTTACTTCGGTGATCCCTTTTATAGCTGTCTACATCATCCGAATTTCGGAAGTGTGAGGCACTAGCTTCTTCCCTCTTAACTGGCCTTTGTGATTGGTTGCTTGTGTCTGAACATAACTGGTGAGCATCCCTTGCTCCGCCCCCTCATGAATTTAAACGGTATCTCCTCGTCATCACAGTCTGTTTGATCAGTACACTAACCAAGCAACACAAAATAAAGGGACATAACACAGTCCTCCATCATTCCTAGCAAAGTTTTCAGTGCATATCAGAAGTCCCATTTTAGTTCTCATTAGAACATATCTTATATGACGGTGCTTAAAATCCCCTACATTTCCCTTACAAATTCTTCCATAGCTGAGTCTTATAAAATATTATGGCTAGTTACAGCGACACACAAATCAAAAGCTCTGTATACTTAGAGGCGTCTCTGGCATCCATTCTGTTCTTACAAATATATCAAACCCTAAAAATATACACAATAACAGAACTGATTTTTGCTGCCAACAGACTCTTATCTTATATCGTCACTGGGTGGCAAGGAGTTATCCACATTTTTCTCAATTTTCTTAACCATCTCCGGTGCGTAAATCCGGTAATTCGAGTGGAATTACAATATCGCGCCGCTTGCCACCAATTTATTATGCCGCAACGATTGCGACACAAAAATGTCTTTTTATATCTTATCGCTACCACCAATTTGTTGTGCCCTGATAGGAGTCAGCGACTGTACTCACCCTCTATCGGATGGCCGTGGATAACTCTTAGCCTGCGAGGTGGAAAACATGCTTCACTCGGGGAATCCACAAATAAATCGAGTACTCACCAACAACAATAAAGTAAAATATAATGAAATAAACACCATTACAACAAACAAACTGTTAATACACACAAAATCTTCAATTAAACCCCTACTTTTAAATTTCTACATTTAACTGTCCATAATACGTACGCTAAACCTACATGACAGAAATCAGTACTTTTACTTGTAACTTCAAACTCAGTACCAGGATGACATGCTTCTACTATTCAAACTCTTCATACAACCAGGAATTATTCTCATTACTTAAATTCTTCTCCACTACTGCTACATGGTTTCTGCCATTACCTGAAGTCCAGTTACTTTCCACAAAAAGAACCAGCAGAGTCAATCTTAAAACTGTGATAGCCAAAATCATTCGCCATTTCGTTCAAAATGCTATCATTTTGCTATGTAACAATTGCATAAATGTTAACGAACAAAACATTCAAATGCACGAGCACTTTCACTCCATCGCGTCTCCTTCCTACCACGCGACTGTTCTGAGCTATTCCTAAAATCAGAGTGTTTGCGGCTACTCCCATCTGAACCCCTCAACATTCAACATCACGAAAAGCTGCTCTTGCAAAACCCCTGAAATCAGAAAACTGTGCGGTGGCGAGACTTGCCTCGTGTCGTCACTTAATTTGTCAGCAATTTCTATAGACTGTACAACTGACACCGGATGACTAAAGAATGTACGGCGTCTCAATTCTGGCTTCCGGCGTGTTTACAATCTGTGGTTCACCCGACATAGTGAAATTTACAAAACTTATAATTATATTCTAATCAATGACACGTAAATTTGACCCCTTGTTAGAATAAAGCATATCCATTAATAACCTGGGGCACAACACAGGTCTTACCCTAATGCAGTTTGATAGAATCCTTGCACTTGGCATGTGGGATTACAGTACCTCACTACAACTGCTTAGAACATTAAAATGCATCTCAAGAATACAGAGTTAGGTGATGTGAATCAGACTGAGCAGGCTAGAGGTTAGCTATACTGCCGAGCCCACTGATCTGAGCATCTGCTGATAAAACAGAGAAGGGAATGCTCACTGTGATTAGGCAGACCACATCTCTATCATGGCAGCATACTTTACCTTCTTTCTCAGGACATCTAACTCTTTCTCCAAGGCTTGTATGATTTCATCGTTCCGCTGAGTATCTTTCTTTGCCTGCTCTCTCTGGGAATGCAGTTCACTCTCATACTCAGTTATGAGCTCATCCTTCTCCATGAGTTCATTCCTTAATCTCAGTACTTCATCTCTTGCTGTGATAAGCTGTAGACTGAAAAAAAATAAAATGTACTAATTCTGCATGAAAAAGGAACCTCTACTTTGTAGCAAGCCAGAGACACAGCAATTTTAGAAATTCAACTTCATCATAACCTTGCTGTACACAGAGGATTCCAGTTAATAGGGTCAATCCCTAATTAGGGCAGGCTTTTATTTCTTTAAGAATCTGGAGTCCAACTGGGTCCACTTGGCACGGCGGCCACTGGTTGGCCTATTGTAGCCTGCCCCGAATGATTATGATGATCGAGAATTTGGTGGAATGAAGATTGGCAGGGGAAACCGAAGTACTCAGAGAAAACCTGCCCCAGCGCTACTTTGTCCACCACAATTCCCACTTGACCAGACCCGGAATCGAACGCGTGCCAGAGTGGTGGGAGGCCAACGACTAACCGCTTGAGCTATGGCGCGGCCTTCATCCTGTGCTTAACTAATGAAGCTTGAGGAATTAAGACCTCTAGGGAAGTTGATGTATAGATCCACGTTTCCTTGACCTCCACACTTGTCTGAGGTCAGTGCTCAGCTTCCAGGTTCAGCTGCTTTACCGCCGAGGAAGCAACCCTCCCTCCCAGTTCTCATTGGATAGAAGGATGGGTCGGCCTCAGAGCCGGTCAGGACAACGCTGAGAAAGTAGTTTACCCTACTGGGACTCGTACTCTGAACCCTTGGTCATCCGGCCCATAATATAAAGACATAAAATAGATATCTTATATCTTATATGTGAACAGATTTCCCTTTGGTTTGAATATAAATTCTTTCACGTTATAGTGCTGCATATCAAACTAACCCATCAGCATCAAGATCATCCATATTTACATCTGTCTGTGTCTCTGTAGAGGCATTGCTCCCTGGTCTTGTGACTAACTGTAAACACAGAAACATTCATATAAGCAAAGAAACATTACTGGTGCAGTCATGCTGATATCCCAGTTGAGCAGTTCTCATGTTCACTAAGACTCAACTCATTTATAATATGTTAAATTGTAAGGGTTTGAGCCACATTCTGCCTGAAGGCTCGAAGCAGTGCCCAGTATCCTGCATCTACCCCCCTCCCCTGAGGCGTCCATGCTGTTACTTCCTTGATTATGTAATCCTATTATTCCCATGTACCATGTGACTCCCCCTTCCTCCAGATATTTATGCAAAACTTTTCACGTATGTTGCGGGTGTAGTCCCTGGTCCTCTAGGTTGGAGGGGGAGCATGAGGCTAACAACCTCATCCTGTAAAAGAATTTGGTTCAGATAATTAACAACCAACCTCGGGTCATCATGCATGGGCCCATTCTTATGGCAACGCATTGGCTATGGAGAGTGGTTGTAGAGGACGCCAAGGCTCACCCAGGGCTGTACCGCCAAGTGGTAGGTAGGTAGGTACGTTGAAGCTTGGAAAGGAGTCTTTTCGTTTACTGGAGGCTGAGGAGGAAGGTGGTGAAATTCTGTTTAGGTGGCACATTTTAAATTATGTTTGGATTCTTATACTGGCCGTTGAGGGAAAGGGACCCCCTTGTTGCAACGTGTGTGTCAGAAGCGTTGCAACAGTTGTTTGCTGGGGTTTTGATTTAATTTGATTTATTTAGTGGTTGGGCTTGTATTGCCTCATTTCGTGTGTTTGAGTATGGAAAACGTAATGAGGGTTTCTTTTCTGCTGGGAATCGTTTGTACATGTTTAGGCTTCCATTGACACACTTGTGTTTCCGTTCATTTATAATAATGGGCACTGTCCCGAGTGGTGAGGTATGTTCCTTTCTGAGTTTCTGTCTGCACTGACTGAGCTGGTTGACGTTATTGTTTGCTCAGGATTTTGTTATATTCTTACTCCTTGCAGATGTTCATGTTTAATAATCAAGATTATTATGATGTTAGGAATGTTATGGTATTTATTGTGCTTTATTTTTTGATGTCACTTATTGTTATTAAATATTTATTTTGGTGTTACAGGTTTTCTCTTGAGTAATGCTGAAAGCTGGGACACCCCAGTTAATCAACGCAGCACTCGGGACACAAGAAAAGAACCAGGGACGAATGCAGCAATCGTTGCCTCAAACTGTGTAGGGTAAAGAGGGGACGAGCTACTAAGTTTTTTCACTGAACATAATACCTACCTACAACTCAGCGCTACAGCACTGGGTGAGCCACTGCCTCCTTTACAACCAGTCTCCACAACCAATGCGTGCTGCCATAGGAATGGATCCACTCATGATGACCAGAGGCTGGTTGTTAGGTTTCAGAACAGAATTCATTTTACAGGATGAGGTTGTCAGATCACAGGTGGAAGTAAGGTTGTCAGCCTTATGTGCTGGTAACAATTAACCGCCTGGAAGATTCCTGATAATCATTTCTGTTAGAGGCTGAGTCGACCCCAGGGCCATAGTGCGGCTGGAAGGATTAGGCAATTTGAAAAAATCCACCTCTCCTGGACTTGAACCCGCGACCATATGGCTTATAGCGTAGTGCCTCAACCATGCTACCGTGTGGCCCTTCATTATGTTTAGATCATGGATAAACGCACACTTCAGTAATCTTCATTAACTCAACTGTTGGGTTAGGGCAACCACAGTTCTGGAATTCTGTTTGGACCCAAAAAACCATTTTACGAAGAATGGGCACTGAATGTTTAAGGCTTTTGGAATTATGATATGATAGCTTAGAGATGACAGTGGAGAGACCACCACAAGACTCTCTACTTCAGCATTTATTACACGAGGGATATTCGGAAAGTAAATGTACAATTCAAGTAAATATGCAAGGGATTTTTTTTTTCAGTAATGGGAGTGAAATAGGGACCCTACGACAGGGCAGAGTTCACCGGCTACAGTTACGGCAACTTTGTGTTGGCAGTGTATGTTTAAATCGGTGTGTCGAGTCAAAAACCCGCCAAATAAGAGGTTCGTGCAGTAATTCGATTTCTTCATGCGAAAGGAGAAACTGCCGCTGAAATTCATAGCCAACTTGTTTCTGTATAAGGCGAAGATGTTCTTAATGGGTGAAACGTTGCAAAATACTGTCGTGAATTTGAAGCGGGAAGAAGTGATGTGGAAAACCAGTCGTTGTTAATGATGAGATCGTAAAAAAAAAAAAATGTTGCCAACATTCGTGCTGAGAGATATTTAACCATCTACGAACTTTATTAACAATATCCAGCATTGTCAAGAACTGTTCTCCGTGAAATTGCTATCGGAAACGGTGCGCTCGTTTGTGCCGAAAATATTGGCAGCCGATCACAAGAAAAATCGAGTGACTGCAGCGAAGGAATTCCTCGCAGTGTTATGGGGATAGGTGACAACTTTCTGGACTGTATTGTGAAGGAAGATGAAATATGGGTATCTCATTACAAACCTGAGAATAGGCGACAATCAATGCAGTGGTGCCACACACACTTACCAAGAGTGAAAAATTCAAAACCTCGCCATCAAACTGAAAAGTAATTGCAACCATCTTCTGGGACAGGAAGGATCTAATTCTCGACAGTTTTTTTTTGCGTCGAGCTGTTCAAAGAAAGCGGAGAGGAATGGTGACGCGAGGAGCCTGCTTACTGCACGATAACGCCCGTGCGCCCACTGCTCGCACCACGAAGGAGTTGTTGCAGTCTTTGAAGTGGGAAGTATTGGTCCTTCCACCACACATCCCAGACCTCCCAGACCTTGCACCATCTCCAAGGGTGAGTGAGTACACAGACGGTTTTAATTTGATTTGAATGAAAGCTCATTAAGCCACACAGCTATAAATAAAGAAGCAGCTCACCTGAGCTTATGTGTTTCCAGAATACGTGCAACGGCCTGAAATGTTTCGGTAATCGTCATAAATTTTTCGACCAACTGTAATAAAGCAAAATTTCATATTAAAATATTACTGTTGCAATTGTGGTGATGTGTGAACAAAGCAATTTAGAGATTCATTATCATCTGATTAAAACATAATAATGGTGACATGTTGGTCTTTTCTGAGGAACAAGTTGGCAAGTGTTTTGTCACGGAGAGATATTTATATGAATTCAAATTTCGAACAACTTGATTGTTCAACCGTTTTCCGGAACGGACTGTGTTCGAAGTTGGAAGTAACACTGTATTTTTGTATGACGCCTGCTTCTGTTGGTTTCTTACTTGGCTCACTCTTCAACATTGAAGATGGAGGTTATGTTACCGTGATACAATGGGCTTTTGCACAAATGACATGACATTACAATCCAGACAACCTCAGTATTCATAGTCAACTCCGTAAGGATATAAAATTCAGCAAATCCAGAGAAGATTCAACGGCAGTCCGGCCTGCGTTGCAGTCCACAACGAACAGTACGAGTCAACAAAATATAATGTTATGCCACGTAATCCGAATAAAGTGAACAGACGTTTCGCAGGAACAATTTGCCATCATCTTCAGGGTTTAAGAGTAAACCACGTGCAATAATTCCAGCCACAAACCAATGACAACGAAAGGAATTGGAAATCTAGTAACAAATATGGATTCTTGTAATGCCACTTTTGATTCATTCACGGATACAGCGTCATATGAGATTCAATTCAGGTCTTCATTGTCGATATCGATCTGATTATATCGAATTTATTTATTTATTTAGTTTAGTCCCCCGAAAATTGTCATCTTATGATAAATGATACAAAATCCTTCCCAAGTGCAAACAATATATGTTATATGTCTTTGATCTTGTTCTCTTCTACACTACATGGTTCGGCCTCTAGCCGCTGCAGCACTTTAGACATAGGGCGAGTAACCCTAACAATTTTAAATTTTAAATTTAAAATTTAGAAAAAATTTTAAAGGATTTTAAAATTATAACTAAAGATTTTATAGTGCTAGTACAGAAAAATCAAAATCTAATTACTTCTATTTGGCATAAGGAAAAATTATCTGATCAGCGGAATGAGTCCCTAATTGTACCAGTTCACAAGAAGGGTGATGAAACTGACTGTAGTAATTATCGGGGGATATGACTGCTATCAACTTCATATAAAATTTTGTCCAATATCCTTCTTTCAAGGTTAAATCCATAATAGATGAAATTATTGGGGATCATCAGTGTGGGTTTCGACGTAACAGATAAACTACAGATCAGATTTTTTGCATTCTTCAGATATTGGAGGAAAAATGGGAGTACGACGAGACAGTACATCAGCTATTCATAGATTTCAAGAAAGCCTATGATTCAGTTATGATGGAAGTATTGTACAATATTCTAATGGAATTTGGGGTACGCATGAAACTACTTAGGTTGATTAAAATGTGTTTAAACGAAACGTATAGTAAAGTCTGTGTAGGTAAACATCTGTCTGACAAATTTCCTATCCAGAATGGTCTAAAACAAGGAGATGCTTTATTGCCACTCCTTTTCAACTTTGCTTCAGAGAATGACAGGGAAACCAGGTGGAACTGAAATTAAACGAGACATATCAGCTGTTGGTCTGTGTCGATGATGTGAATCTACTGGGTGATAATGTAGGTACTGTCATCCCGTGTTTGGTGTATAACGCGACAAATAACTTCACGCCGTACCCGATAGAGCGAATTTATTGCACATTCGCTCTTACAATCTCACAATTACTGCCATCAGCAGTATCACAAATACTAGACTGCGATTTACTGGTTACTCTTTCTCTAGTAACTGGCTCAATACTCACCACTCATTAACTAATCACTCACTACTCACTGCTAACTGCTCTGAATAGTGTTCGCTGCTCCTTATTTAGCCTCGTCACAGACAAGACAGAAAACAGTTATGTGATAGGTACCGTGTTGCCTGACGCCCTGTTTCCCGATAGCCTAGCAACGCTGTCAGCAGTTGTTCACTGCTGCATAGCAACCACGGCATCCCTTGGTCACGTCACCACGGTATGGGGCACTGTGTTGACAGGCCTATTACCGTAGCAACGGCAACGCTCCGAAGGTGTTACGTCACCTCAAGCTTGGGAGGGTGTTTCCTGCATATCGCAAATACGTCACAATACCATAAAGGAAAATATACAGACTTTAATTGACGCAAGTAAAGAGGTTGGTTTAAAAGTAAACACAGAGAAAATTTATTATATATTACTGTCTCGTGACTAAAATGCAGGGCAAATTCATGACATAAAGATAGGAAACAGATATTTTGAAAATGTGGCACTGTTCAGATATTTGGGGACAACAATAACAGATCGAAACCTGATTCAGGAGGAAATTAAGAGGAGATTTTACTCGGGTAATGCTTGCTACCATTCAGTCCAGAACCTTTTGCCTTCTCGTCTGCTGTCCAAAAACATAAAAATTAGAATATACAGGACTATAATTTTGCCCGTGGTTCTGTATGGGTGTGAAACATTTTATCTGACATTAAGGGATGAACATAGAGTGAGGGTGTTTGGAAACGGTGTTGAGGAGAATATTTGGACCGAAGAGAGATGAAGTAACAGGAGGTTGGAGAAACCTGCATAATGAGGAGCTTCATAACTTGTACTCGTCTCCAAGTATTATTAGAATGATCAAGCCCAGGAGGATGAAGTGGGCAGGTCATGTAGCACGAATGGGGGAGACGAGGAATGCGTATAGAATATTGGTGGGAAAGGCAGGAGGAAAGAGACCACAGGGAAGACCCAGGCGTAGGTGGGTGGACAATATTAGAATGGATCTTAGAGAGATAGGATGGGATTTTGTGGATTGGACAGATCTGTCTCAGGATAGGGACCAGTGGAGGGCTCTTGTGAACATGGTAATGAACCTTCTGGTTCCATAAAATGCTGGAAAATTCTTGATTAGCTGCAAAATTTGCAGCTCCTCCAGAAGGGCTGAGCTCCATGAAGTAAGTAAGTACTTCAGTTTCCCCTGTTATTATTCATTCCATCAAATTCTGCATCATAATCTCCCGGGGCAGGCTACATTAGGCGCATCAGTGACCGCCGTGCGGAGTGGTCCCAGTTGGACTCCACCCCTCATTGAGCGAATTAAAAGAAACACGACAATGTTGCAGTCTCTCTTCTGATTGGTGGAATTTAAGCAGTGACTACCAGTCACAACTGCTGACCTCGTAACACACACTGCTTACAAGATAAGGGCAAGCTGATGTCTTCATTTTGTTCAGTTCCTTCAAGCGGATGTAAATAGAGNGGGAAGTGGAAACCATACCTCGTCGAGGTCATATTTCACAATAAGTATTAACGCATAACAGAATTGTTAGTAAATTAGCGAATATGTCTTCATTACCGATGTTGCGAAGTTCATAT